CATGTCAGTCAAAGGAAGCGAAGAAAAGAAAAATTTACAACAATAAAAGTTAGTGTTTACCCGAGAGAGGAGACGTTGAGCCTCTTCAAAGAGAGTGGATGCATCATTAAGGTCAACGACATCGTCAACCCCGGGGAAACAGTCCCGAAAAGGGTCTTCTTCGAGAACCTTGCTCGGGTCGGGCATTCGCAAAGCCCGAGCATCCTTTATTGCCTCCTCGGAGTAAGACGGTAGAGAAGGTGAGTGACCCATTGTCACGACCTCGAGCTCCTCACTCGGGGCACTCTATTTAGCTTCGACCCTCTTAGCACTTGCTCCCTCCGGCGTATTTGTTGAAGGAGGGGGAATGATCTCGATCTCAGGGGACTCGAGGGCTTTACCGGAGTCTTGCTTCGGAGTTCCTTCATCAAGAGGCAAAGTTTCAGGCTCGGAGGGTCTGGCGGAGTCGACTGGTCTCCTAGTTCAGGGCACCAGCGCCGATTCTTCGCCCTCATTCTCTTCATCCTCCAGGAATTGGATGGCAGAATCCAACTCCACGTGGATAAGCTTCATCCTTGACTTCCGAGAAGGGGCCTTATCATCCTGAAGATCTTTGGGCTTCGAAGCCCTCTTTCTTTTATTGTCTTTCCCCGATTTCGGAATCGGGAACTTAATCTCTTTCCCGGGCGGGGCTGGCCTCATTGCATGACTAATAAAAGAAGAATATCAAAAACCTGAGAAGAGAATTTACCATGATGTTTGGCTTCCCACTTGCCCCTCGATAATTCGCGCCATTTGCGTTCATCGTACGAGGAGGTTGCGGCCAATTTTTGGACCTAACTCTCGAGGTCGGGGACCACATGGGGCATCCAAGCAACGGCTGCAGAAAAGGTAAAGGCATTATGAAACATGGAAGAAGAATATGAATAGATATTTGGAGAAGGAGTTCGCTTACGATTAAAGTTCCACCTCTCTGGAATTGTCATCTTTCTCCTATGGATGACATCCGAGGTCCTCACTCTGATAAACCGGCTCATCCAGCCTCGATCTTTGTCCTCGTCATTACTAGCGAAGAAAGCCTTTTTTGATCGGCGTTGAAGCTTGATGAGCCCTAGAAATAATTGAGGCCGATATAACCGAATGAGATGATTCAGGGTAAACTCCAATCCCACGGCCTTACTGGAAAAATAGCGCAGCATGATCACGATGCGCCAAAAGGAGGGATGGATGTGGCCGAGGGTAACCTCGTACGTCTTGCAAAAGTCGATCACTACCGGATTGAGGGGACCCAATATGAAGGGGTAAGTGTAAACACTTAAGAACCCCTCCACGTGGGTAGTGATGCTTTCCTCGGGGCTTGGGATCTGAACCACGACCTCGTCTCCCCAGCCGTAGTCCCTCTTCATGGCTTTGAGGTACTTCTTCGATATCGAACTAATATATCGAGATACATGTTCGCATCGGCCTGGGATATAGGGGGGATTTTCAACGTTGAAATCCTTCTTTATCATACAAGGGCCGAGGGTGATTTCGTGAAGAGCTAGCGGCACCACCGGTTTGGTCGGCCAGGAAGTAGAAAAAGACGATGCTTTCTCTTTTTGGGGGACTGTTTTGAAAGTTTTAACCATAGATTTGAACTATGGAATACATGCGATAGCAGAACGTGGTGTTTTATGTGATCTTGGCATTTTTCGGTGATCGGAGTAAAAAGCAGTGAGAGGAGAAAGAGATGAAGGGGAAAAGTGAGCAGAGTAAATACAATGAAGAGGTAAAGTTTTTGGTTTAAAGAAGAAACCCCATATTTATAGATGAGAGGCGACGGTTCGGTGGCGCTAGTGGCCGACCATTACTGGCGTGCATTTTAGAGAAGCGAACCGACGGGACGTTCCAGTCACTTTGAGCGCCTACGTCACAGGAATGACATCATCATAAGAGATTTCGGAGAATCGAGGTTCAAATCGATTCTTATCATCTTATTCTAAGAAACGCGTGGACTATCTGTATACGGTCAAAATCAGGTATGCCCGATTTCCCAGGTTCGAGGGGTCACCTTAGGCCCGAATTAAGGTAAGGCCGAGTTCGAGCTCGATGGACCAGACTCGAGCTCGAAGACAGAGTGCAATGCCCGATGATTGAAGCACGATGAATACCAAAGCCGAGTATGCTCGACCCCGAAATAATGCCGTTATGGATTTATAACAGAATGAGCAAGATTCCTGCCACGTCCCCAAAATCATGGCGCAAATCCCGAAATAGAATTGTACGATTCCGTACTAGGCGGTTAGACAGCTGTCCCAATAAGATTCCTTACTGTAAATGGAAATGTACCTTATTTAGGGCTCCCCTATTATATAAAGGGGACCCCAATCATTTGTAAAGGTCATCTAATCATTGGCAAAGAATATACTCTCTACTTTTCGCTCATTGTTCATCAGAATTGTCCTTTAAACTTTATTGTTCTTGCTTTATTGTTCTTGTTTCACCCCGAGGTCACTGAGCTCGAGGTCGATACTGCTTAAGTAACATTGGTTTGATTCACTTATTTCTTTCATCTATACTTTATACTTCTTGATTATTAATTGGTATTGAACTAAATCACATATCTTTAAAACCACAAATCAAATTTAATTGTTACTCATATTTTCGAAGTAAACAATTTTATTTTATACCTTACACATAGTTTTAATAATAAATTTGTGTTCTTAAAAGATGTTGTACTAATTGACATTGGCTATCAAAATAAGCATGAAACCAAAAGATGATATCACCCAAAAATCCAGCAAGAATTAATAATATGGAAAATGTACCTGGAGGAACAAAGGGCTGGTACCATATATACTTGTCCCTTTAAAATGGAAGCTAGATTCAATTTCTGCCTCAGCAATTGTAGCTGTGTCTTTTCTTAGTGATTGTATCACGTAAATCTGATATTGTTATTCCAAAGAGTTTTCTGCAAAAAGTACAACATTTTAGCTTATAAAATGGGTAGGGATCTTGTTTATGAATAAGCATAAACTTATTAAAGGAATTAAGATAAGACCTTATAACGACCTAAAATATATATTTTCACTTTACTTATCCGGAAACAAGGGCAACCTACAGGTTCGGCTTAACCTAGTAGCTTTTGTTCAAACTATTTGTCTTAAAAAATTCATCGAATATGTACAATTTATTAATTTAGAACTCAGTAGCTTAAACAGATTAAATTCCCGAATTTTATTCTCGTTGTACCCTTACCATTAACTATTCATTCTCCAAATCATTTCTCAAGACTTTTGTAAATACTATCATTAATATGGGTAAATCGGCAAAATAGATACTTCATATATTTTTTAAAGGGAGTGCAAAGTCTGAACAATTAAAAGTGAACGGAGGGAGGACTTTAAACCTGTACCCTCTTTAGTGACAACAATTACAAAAGATTAAAAATTGCGACAAAATATTTTTCTAAACAAAAGAGCAAGAGTCTTTAAAGTCAAATGATATAATTGGGAGCAAATAGACAAACTATTATAGTGTTCACACAGTGAGGCAGGCCCATATTAAAAGGAGAAAAGTTGTGCCTTGTGAAAGTGAAAGTCATTCATAAGCACAACAAAAGGCAATAACCTGTCAAAAGAGAAAAGTGAAGGTGGCTATATATATATATATAT